AAATAATTAATTAAGTATCTGGTGACAAATACATGTACGTATAGACGATTTGTTATACAGTAAGTACAGTTGTATGCAGTAAAATCCTAGAGGCTACTGTCCCTTTAAGGTTTGGGACAGGGTGGCTGTTTGTACTTGTGTGGTCTGCACTGCATGCGTAGTGTAGGACGTTTACTCATTAGTGGTACCGTAAAAATACACGCGGCCTGGTCGAATGGGAATTCTTGACGATCGATTCCCGCGCTGTCAAACTTTTATTGTGGTGGAATTTAATCGGGTCGGAGGTAATTTAAACGGGGCGCAACGATTGAAACGTGAGGGAAGTTTCCCAAACGGGGCAGGCGCGCCCGGTTTCCGCAACGTAGGGAGAACCCTGGGTCAGACCGTCAGACTCATAGACATATGCGTCTAAGCAGAGGATCGAATTGCTCCGACCTATGATTGGAGGATAAAAATAGAATTCGTGAAGTTTCGTTTTCGCTCGCACCGCTCGTAGTGCATAAGCACACTGGCGCATTGGATGCAGCTGTTACCCCCCCCCCCCCCGCCGCATACGCTAGCCTATTACGCTATGACCGGTAGGAAAGTGTACGAACTATCATATGGCACAAACGATTTGGGTTACATTTCTATAAATTCTAGCTATTATTATTATAGACACATGTCTTAGCTATAATCTTAGTAAATTCTGAGTATATTGAAGCACAATTAGTCTAATTAATTAGCAAATATGTACGCGCAGTATCGCTCATAGGCTAAATGGCAAAATGAAAACGAAACGTCACGAATTCTATTTTTATCCTCCAATCACAGGTCGGAGCAATTCCTCTGTTTAGACGCATGTGACCACAGATATGTGACTCAATAGTACATTACTACTACTAGTACTAGCGCTGAGAGGGTCTATGTCCCCCAGGGTACTGCCGGAACGTACCCTGGGTACGGTCCGGTATACCGAAACGTACCCTGGTACTATCTAATATGCCGGACCGTACCTCGTCTACTCCACTAACGATCGAGTCTAGGGAGTCGCCTACGCCTACTCCCTAACCCTGACCCTAACCCTAACCTAGGGGTCGAAATTAGCGGTATCCCGATATTCGCGGGATAGTAGATTCTTGTGTTGGATACCAGATTTCAATGCTTGGTATCCCGCTGGGATAGTAAAAAAAAATTGTCAAAATCGGGATAGTGGTTGTTGAGCATATTTGCAAGCGCAAGCGTAAGCTATAGTGTAAGGCTAAGCTATTGTGATCTATTGTTGATCATAAATGTGATGTGTATACATTGTATCAAGCAAACCAGACAATGCGTCTAGACAATACGTCTGCAGTGTACTTAATTGTCTGTGCATATCTGTGAATCTGTTTTCATGTTTCTATATAATAATTACATTACATATAACATATTAATAATTTTCAAATGCTATTATTGCATATTTCACAATTTTGGATACCAACAGTGTTGAAATTACTATCCAAAAAATGGGATACCAGATTTCAATACCTGGTATCCCGAATGGATACCATAATCATAATGTCATTAATGATAATAAAAATCTAATTTCGATCCCTGTAAACCATATCAAATAGTTACCAGGGTACGTTCCGGTATACCGGACCGTACCCAGGGTACGTTCCGGCA